GGTGAGGCCACACCAGCCAGGTGTCATCCTAAGGGTGTCACCCACTCAAGCGAGGTGGGAGGACTCTCTGGCGTCTCCGCCTCCCACCACCTAGTGTTGCCTGCAGTTTCCAAGGCTCCTGTGAGCCAGGAGGCTTCTGGACACCAAATTCTGAAGGGGTAAGTCAGGTCCATCTTCTCACAAGCCCTCCACCCTGGAAAACAAACAAACAAACAAAACAGGGCGTCTCCCAGTGAGGAAGCAGCTCTCCCTGCTGAAGGGAACGGGAGCCATCTCCCATTTCTCAACCTTCAAAATCAGGTTCCTGAAACACTACCATGAGGTTTTTAGTCTTTTGTCTCTTTCTTCCTGAAAGAACTCACATTTGAGAAGAAAGTGAACCCCAGTGTCTAATAGGCACTTGGGGGGCCGGGGAAAGATCCACCCTGAGGTGAGGTGATTCCCCTCACTCCACCCAGGGACCCCCAAGTCATTCTTCCCAAGCTGCCCAGCGGAGACCCCGAGCTAGGGAGCTCTGGCTAGGAAGTGAACCAGCCCCACATCTGCAGCCCAGCTCTTCTCCCCATCTGTGACCCGCTTGTCTTTCTCCTCCTTCCTTCCTTCCTTTTCGGAAATAATGGTTTGGGTGCAAGTTTCTGAAGCAAAGTGATTCCCCGTTGCAAGATTCATAGGAACGCACAGTCCTCTCACTCTGACAGCACGCTTCCACGGCCGCCCTGTGTGCGCTGGTTCCCTCCCTCCTGTCCATCCGGAATCCCCTTCTGCCTTCTGCCTCACAAGCTGCCCTTTCTGGCCTCTCCAGGTTCATTGTTCTGATGAGCATGCACCTCCCTGGGGTGACCGTGCACCTCATAGGCCTGTCTCTATGTCTGGCTGAAAGTGGCAAAGTCAATGTCTAGAAAATGATGATGGCAACCTATGTACAAATATGCTTGATACAATTGACGTATGGATTGTGGTCAGAGCTGTAAGAGCCCCTGATAAAATGATCTTTTAATTTGAAAAAAAAAAAAAAAAGGGGGCGGGGGGGTAGGGGGTGTCAGGGGTGAGTGAAGTTCAAGGCTTGAAGGGTGCCTCAGGGGTCCCACTGAGCAGTAAGCCCAGATCTTTTATTATTATTATCATTTTGAGTTTTGTTCCACATTTTTCTCCCACTCTGCCCAGGACTTCCTCTGTGATCCCTTTCAGCACAGTCACCAGTGGCTGGGCACCATCTAGTTCTCCCGGTCATTAGGGTCCTGGGGGCTAGGGCCAACCAGGGCCTTTCTGGGTGAGGTCCCCAGCATGACTCCATACT